CGACTGTTTTTCTTGCAAAAGACGAACTTCCATTTGTCTGGTGTGCAAAGCGTGAGTTTGGTATTTTGTTAGACTTAAATCGGGTATATTATATATACATGGGGTCTATAGAAATGTCTTCGTTATAAATTGCTTAAATATTTGTTCTCTGATTTTGTTGCATTACTTTTGCCAGGCGATACTCATGGGAATAGGTCTGCAACACAAGACTATGGAAGACTTTGAGGTATAATTCTGATTCCATAAATGATATAGCGATGCTAACGTAATAACATCGCCTACGAAGGGAGTACTATCGATAGTTTATTTCATCATAACGGCGCTATATTCAATATTCAACATATAGACATTCGATATGGTGTACATATAACGCTCATATAACGAGTTGATAAATACTTGCAATAGACTTCTTCTTCGTACACTGTGGTTGCATATAGAAGAGTAGAAAACAAACGCAGGAAAAAGCATTTTCTAGGCGATTTTTAGCGGTTGCAACAGTTTGCGATGACATTCATTTGATGATAAAATATTTTCCCAAATAACCTAATAATTTGTTTTCTAGAAAGAGCTACAGTTGCCTGTCAGTCAACTTCTGGGTTTGTTTAGTAGAGTTATCAGAAAAGTCGTCAAGGTTAGAAAACACTGCTCTACTTCATTTTTTTAATAAATCGCACACAATCAAATAAAAAAATACGTAAACATATAAAATACTCTTACTCCAGAATTTTAACGAGATCCTTGAGTCAGCAGTTGAGAGCGAAATGTCGAAGGAAAAGGAAATAATCATGGAACCATTGGCTAAAGATCTCAATGAAGAACTGGTATGCTAAAGTAGAGTCTTTGCTAAACTATAAGCTACAATTAAATCTAGCCATTGTTATTTCGAAACCGAACTAGTATAAGAAGGTTCGTAAAGAATTTGCACGTATATTCTAGTGCACTTCAAAATCGTCGATTAAGATTGCTCGACACACGCACAGTTCATAGTTTTGCTATCACTGGTCTAATAATACACTGGATATACACTGACTATACATATCGAAAACATAGTAGGAATTAATGCAGCTTCAGAAATCCTGAACGGAGAACCCCTTTATATGTTGTCATGCTCACTTTGTAGACACAGATGTAAAACACGACACACTGAATCAGGTCTTAGTTAACTGTGGTGCAGCTCCTAAGGGGAAAATACTTTTTACAATATGCTGTCATTTCACAAGACTGCCCTTGCACTTGTTTGCTGCAGAAATTATACGTTATACGTTAATTGGAATATATGTATGGAACAATATATACTTATTACTTGATCGGTTAAAACAATCCGAGATATTTTCAATTTTGAACTTCATTTACAGGAAGAAATTGCTGAAGAAATAAAGGAAAAACAAAAAGAGAAAACAGAAATGTTAAAATCAATGGATTTAAGCCAGTACGTTTGCAGTTACTTATATATTCATTTCACACTTTTTCCAGTGTGAACTCCAATTTTTGAGGGATTTTCAACCGTCTCTGGAGTGATTTTTTGCCTAAAGACTAAAGAGTTTACCAGAAAAAAGTCCATTGGCAAATATGAGGGGGGGGGGGGTGCTAAAATGAGAGGGCAGATCTTGGCTTAACATATTAGAAACTGGGAAAAGATCCAAACAGCAAACTGCAAGTTTTTGACTCGTAAAAAACGTTCGCTTTACCGTTTCTTTTTATTTGAATAAGGTATGCAATTGCTGGTAAAGACAATGACTGGAATGAAGCTCTGAAGGGCAAAGGACCATCTCAAATGATCAGTATTGCAAGGTATTCATTTCTTTAACTAGTTGTTGATGAAAATATGCTTTTCCTTTCCTTATAGTCCGCATTGATTAACTTTTGCTTTTGATTTTTAAGTGACAAGCCAGAAAAGCGAAAATCGTTGGTAAGCACCTCTCCCAATAATATTGTGTTGCTCTTATATTATTATAGTGCATTGCCGGCTAGATCATATAATATGCATGGGCAACCACATTGCATGGTTGTTATATTGAAGACACGCGTATAAAAACGCACACGTTTTTATGTGATGATGACAGTGTTCGCATGCACTGCTTGTTCCAAATTGCTGTAACAGCAAGTCCGATGGCAGACTTTTACAAGTTTGTTTTGACAAAATCTGACACAGTTATGAGACAACAACTCATGGCTACAACCTCGGCAACACAAGATTGTGACAGTATTTTTAGATCATGTTTGTTTCAGACTTGTAACAAGTCTGATGACTCAACAACATTCGTTGCTGTGACTTATGTGGACAGGCTGTCCCATACTTGTTGGCAGGGGTGGATCCAGCACTAGTGCACAAATTTGCATTACAAAACAGAGTGGTTATTTTTAGCAGTTTTCTTGTGTCATGCTATTAGTGCACTAGTGCTGGATCAAATTAGTGCACTAGTGCTGGATCCACCCCTGCTTGTTGGCAGCTTGGGACAACAATGTTAACAGAACGTGTTTACAGCTTGTTTGCAGATTATAGTTAGACGATGTGATTTTTTACGTGTGTAGGTGAAACTGCGTGCATGTACAATTCAATACATGTCGTTCAATATATTTTTTAAGTTGACCTCTTTTGCATGGATCGATGTAAATACCTTATACCTATATAGTTGATGACACGATTTTATCCCACCAGGATCGTATATTGTATAGTTCAATCGCGATGTTTGCATTTTTTACAGGCTTTAGAAGAATCTACTAGTTCTAAAAAGAAACGGAAAAAACAGAAAAAGGTTAGGACAGGATAAGTTTGAGGGAATGACTGGTGTCTATATGTGGGGAGGTTTCCGTGATGTCTGATAACGTTTGTTTGGGTGAAGACAAAACAAGCAAACCTTCACCATCACCTTCAAGTCATCAGGATTGACGTAAAGAAGACATGTAAAATACGATATGTCGTCGTGAAACTGATGGAACCAATTTGTGTGATAGCAAATTTGCGAATTCTGTAGTGTCTGTAACGGTTATTTATTTGTTGCATAAGCTACTTCTACATAAGTTTGAAGTTCGTGCATGTAAAAGCTGGCGATCGTCATCGAGATGGATGTATTTCCTGAATACGTGGACTTGAACGCAGGACAAACTACATGTTTGTAATTCTCTCTGTAACACGCTTATACACGTGTGCAGTCACTCAGTTAAACTCTTCTGCAATTTCTATGTGAGACAAGATGAATGGAAAATAAAAGATAAGTGAAAATAAGAGATGTGGAAAATAAAAATCAGCGATCTCCTTCGCCTTGGGCGTGGAGCAAACGTGTTTTCTCCATTAATTAGCTTTATTAATTTTATTATTAGCTTTATTATTAGTTTTTATTAATTTATTAATTAGCTCGACGTCGCTAGTCAATTATTTTGCTTGAATTAAGCTAGTGGAAATTAATTATGCTGCCAGGACTTTGAAGTACTCATACAAACGTTTCAATTGTGCTAAATACCTCCGATTTTTAGCTGATATTGCAGTTTCTTTATATAAGCTCTAAAACAGCTATCACTTCGCAGCTGCTCTTATAACATCGAGGAGCTGTAAAATTGCCTCATTTTAAGGCGTTGTAAGAATGACAATAGGGAGCTTTAGCAGTGACTACGAGTACGAGATTCGTCATTCTCGCGCGTTGTTTGCTTACGCCATCAGCCAAAACTAGTAGTCGTTGGGCTTTTGATTAAGAAATTTATCAAAAAACTCGTACTCAAAAGCCCAACGACTACGAGTTTTGGCTGATGGCGTAAGCAAACAACGCGCGAGAATGACGAATCTCGTACTGGTAGTCACTGTTAAAGCTCACTATTAACGCTGTCATGGGAACACAAGTTATGTACAGGGTGTATCAAAAAAAACGCAACCACTTAATATTCTAAAATTCATATTGTTCATAAGCTCAATAGATTTTATGCCCCTGGGATTTTAAAATGGCTTCTAATCGTACAGTTCAACTGCTAATAGTCAAATCAGCTAAACTAATAATGGTGCAGCTAACAACCGAACAACGAGTTTTTATTGTCGTGCATGATAACTTGAATGCTAACTGTCGACCTTGTAAAATAAATTGTAAATAAAATTTTACTCGTTAAATACTTTCAATTCAGCTCGTTGGTTTACGCACCCGACTTTGTTTACCGACGATTGTGCCGCTAGAATATGATTACAAGCTTTCTCGCATTCCAGGGGCCAAACGTCTTTTGTGTTGTTGAACAAAGAGGATATTCATGAATATTAAGTGGTTGCGTTTTTTTTGATACACCCTGTATACCTATTGTCTCGCATGTGGAGTTTCTTTGGTGTTCAAGTGCGTCGTGAATCGCAAACTCCCTATTCCCTGAACAGGCGACTGCCTGATAATAAAAACTTGGGAATGATTAAAACTCTAGTGCGTCATTAGGTATTCATTGGGTATGTCATTAGGTATTCTTTCCGGATGTCAAAATGCCATTTGGAACAAAATACGTTTTTATTTACGCTAATCCTATTTTAAACCTTGCTGACCAGATCCCTAATCCAATCCCTAATCGAAATCATTACGCTAATCCTCTGACGTAAATGAAGGAAGAATTAGGTTACAAAATAGGTTAGATTTTAATTAGATTTACAAAATTTGATAACTTTAAAAAATGTGGAAGATTTTGTTCGCTGAAAACTTGCTTGCATAATATTTAATGATATTTAACACCTGTTCGATCGTGTTTTATCATAGTTAATCCTACCTATATATAGCTATGACGTTTCACATCTATGATATCGTATGATAATCACATTCAAAATACTTCCGCTCGCACAAAATATTGCATAGTCTGAAGAGAATCAATTTACTGAAGCAATTGTGATGTTTTGGCTATAAATATACCTTTGACGTTCATTCAGAAGCGAAGAATATATATACCATATCGTTCTGTTTATATCAAGTAATACCACGAAAATTAGTTTACGCAATGTCAATGATATAGTCAATACGAATACGAACAATCAACAATACCGTCATAACGACAAGATTTTTATGGCTTCAAGTTCAATATTACAATTGCTCTGTCCATGTATAACAAACGAAGATGATTATGATCAACCTGAAGTGATTTCTCGTTACGATGGCGAAAGAAATGTTTTTGGACAGAAACATGGTTACGGTGAATATCATTTCAACAATGGTGACCTTTATCAAGGATGTTGGAAATCTGATAAGATGCATGGCTCGGGTGTTTATACATATTCCTCCGGTAAAAAGTAAGTACAGATCTAGATGTTATGTTTGTCCACGGTTAACTGATTTCTAGCTATAACTTTCTATTGATTGAAATCCAAATATCAGAAAAATTAATGGTTTTTATAGAGATAGTGATGTTTTTTTAAAGTTTTATCTATATGATTTTGCAATATATACCCTGCATGCATGCCTGGACGAGGTTGGCATACCTGCTCATGCCTGCTTACGTAGCATAAAACGATCTGGGATTCAGCAACAAATTTGTGAGGGCCGGGGGGGAACCGTAAATGATCGATTAAGCGGCGTTAATCCACTGATCAGTGCGTTAATCGAATAAGTAGCCTGCTCGCAGACTAAATAGGGACCGTCGCAGCCTCGTACCCAGGCGCTTTAATACTAAAATATATAACGTTGCATCCAGGTATTGTATAGAGTTCAGCTGAAAAAAGCAAGCGCGCAAGGGTGCTTGGGGAGGTTTGGGGAGGTTTGGTTTTTTCTAGCTGACCTCTATACAATAACTGAATGCAACATTATTTTTTACTATATATTAAAGCGCCTGGGTACGAGGCTGGGACCGTCGGCTCTACGGTTTCATATTCAACAAGAATGACTTTCATGGATGAGCTTTTCGCATGAAAAGAAACTTAGTAATTCTACATTTTACTGCGAGCAACGTAATTACAGCGAATATGAAAATGAATATGAAACAGCACGAAATTTGCGTTTGTGACAAATTTACTCGGGTGGTTGTGCGCAACAGTTTACGTAATAAACGACGTCATTATTCTTTGAGACAAATATGACTTCTATAAAGAATATTTATATACTTGTGCACAATTTATTGTCAACTGCTGGAAAAAACCCAGAAACAAATTAAAATTGTGCTCACACTTGGACAAATCACACTGTTAGTGATTTTCAACCGCCGGCCACCCGCATAATTATATATCAGGGCAATTTATAATTGTGGAGAAAAGACTTTCGATGAGAGCTCTTCTAAGCGCACGAGTGGCCGGTGCGAGGGATTTTATTTCGCAAGTGTGATGTTGTTGTTCGAGTGAAATGACAAAAGCCGTTTGACATTGACTGCGATTTGCGAATTTTCCTGAGTAAACGGCGAGCGCTTTCAAATCAAAAGTTCAATAATACAATTGATTATATCCATGCATACAAAGAATGACGTTCACTATGGAAGATATATAGTATAGTTCACTATGAAAGGCGTATTTTGAAGAGAAATAAGTAATAACGAAAAGTATTTCGCTGATCACAAACCGCAATACGACGCAGCATGAATTTATATTTTAGCCATGCAGCTTCTGCGAATTTTCTGGACTTCGTGCTTGGGTCAAATAAACTCAAAATATCCTCAAATAATGTCTAATGCATTGATCAAGAATGACTCGCAGAGAAAATCTATTGCATGGAAAGAAGCGCGCGGAGTTATTCCACATTTGGTACGTCAGATACCGGGTATTTTCATATTCATGTCTTAATCTGAATATGAATGTGAAAATGAATATGAAACCGTAGAGCCGACTGTGGCCGGAAATTGAAGGGGGAAAATTTGTTTTTCCTTCATTTCTTCAGCAATTTCCCCCTGTAATTTCCGGCCCCCTAATTCAGTCAGCGAGCAGGCTATCGAATAAGCGGTGCTATTAAATAAGCGCGGCAAAAAATAATTAGCGTTGCGTCGCTTGTACGAATCTACAAGACGCCAGCTCATGCCTTTACTCCACCTACAGAAATATAATGCAGTCAGTAAGGAAGAATGTTGCCTCTAAAGCAAAGTTCTCGTAAGCATAGTTCTTAGTTCAAAAATCGTAATCATCAGCGATGGCCTGGGTGTCCCAGAAAAAGTACTCCGATTTAAATCATAATAGCTTCTAAACTAGCTAAGCTATTAAACTGAATTAACTTTCACCAAATAGAGGAATGACTAACTTAGATTTTGATATATTACAGTTGTATTTTACTTAAAAATTTACGGAGATATCAATGTTCAAAATTGGTAGCATATTTCTGGATGCGTCTAAATTAATGCAAAAAAATGCCCTATCAAATATTAATCAAGCTTTTCTCAACTGAAACATGCACTATTAGCAGTAAATAAATGACACTTGACAAATTGTTTATTATGAAACGAAGTATTATTATTTAATGAAGAAAATAATACAGCCTTTTTGCAATTACACATATAACAGTTTCAGCGCTATTGTTTTCGTTACGTTTTGTTCGAAAAATGTTGAATGTCCCTGGGGAGTTGCATGTTGTGCCCTATAGAATTATGGTTTGAATGTGTCTTATTTTGAGTTATCCTGAATATGCCAAGATTAAGTAAAGATCAAAGAGTATGCGTGTGCTTATTTACTGCTAATACTGCATGTTTCAGTTGAGAAAAGCTTGATTAATATTTGATACAGTGTTTTTTGCACAATTTAGACACATCCAGAAATATGCTACCAATTTTGAACATTGATATCTCCGTGAATTTTTAAGTAAAATACAACTGTAATATACAACTGTAATATACAATATTAAGTAAAATACAACTGTATCAAAATCTAAGTTAGTCTTCCCTCTATCTAGTGAAAGTTATTTCAGTTTAATAGCTTAGTTAGTTTAGAAGCTATTATGAATCAAACCGGAGTACTTTTTTCTGGGACACCCGGTACTAAAATGCATGATCTCAATTACTTATTTAAATCGTGGGATACAAACATATAGAAAAACAGAGGATAATATTTTTATTAACTAGCGCCTAAATGCAGGAAAGGCACAGTTTATTTCATAGTATATTACATGAAGTATGAAACTTGTGAAACATTACATCACTGATTACACGCGTAAAAATCATCATGTTGATGCATGCAGGTTGTTTAAAAAAGGGTTGAACAATGTTGTGCTGCACCCTGTGAACAGTATTGTTAACAATGTTGTTGAAGCTTGTTGAATCATCAACGTTGTTGCAACTTGTTTCAACAGCACTGCATCGTGATTGCAACAACATTGATGATTCAACACGGTTCAGTAACATTGCTAACAATACTGTTCCCAGGGTGCAGCACAACATTGTTCACTTCTGATGCGACAACCTGATCAATTTTTGGCCGTGTACATCAGTATCATCCTTTATCATCAATCCTATTTACATTAATAAACTTCATGCAATATAAAATAATTAAATGAAATGAACTGTGCCTTTCCTGTATTTAGGCGCTAGTTTTTTACTACAGTTCCGCCATATTCGTTGTGTAGGACTTCAAAGGTTCCAACGTCAGGTTATCCACAGATGCACCTACAGATGCACCTACATGCATCCATTTATAAAGAAGCGCGTTTGCAACAATGACGACGGGCATTTTAAGACTCCGCGGGCGCTGTTGTGCAGGCGGAGTAGTAAATAAACGCCATAGATTCCTTAATGAACGCTGTTAAGAATTTGTTTACAGCTAGTATATAACATTATACACTTAATGTATACTCCCGAGGGAAATAGTGAGTTTTTTTTCCCGAGAGTGTGAATGTTTTCCGAGACGAAGTCGAGGGAAAACAAAACTCACTATTTCCCGAGGTAGTGTACATTAAATGTTTTGTTATATAGGAACGAAAACATACATGATACAGAACAATTTCATTTAATTAAAAAACACTTTACTCTGTTATGATATGAAGCGGGCAAAAATTTTTTACTTGTTTTCCTGGCGGGAAACATTGCATTTATTTAAAGTCATGTGACTACGAATGTACCAATCACATATAAAATACAAAGCACCTATATAACAATAGATTTATTAACCCAAATATTTTTAAAATTTCTAATATTTTTAAATTTTTTGAAATATATACAGTGTTTTCAAAATTTTTAAAACTTTTGACAGATACCCAGGTATTTTTAAAATTATCAAGGTGGATAAGACCACCTTTAAAACATTTGAAATTTTTGACATACAATGGTGATCAAAAGCCTGAGTCCAGTCGATAATTTTTCTTATATTACGATAATTTACAATAAATGATATCTTATGCATGAGTTGGAGATTGGATATGTTGATCTGAACTTAGGTATTTTATGATAGTAATGCCTCCCATAGATATCTCGTTGATTCTCATGGTATTTAAGTTGAATAAGAAATGCGTATTATTCTTTTTGTGGACCAAAGATGGCAAAGAGAAGGCCAACAATGACGGGATGTCTCGAAAAATTGCGAGAAATTGAGATTAGGTTATAATGCTGTTATAATGCTGTATTTCAGCAATTGATAACATTTTATGTCATTTTAAACATTTTGGGACATTTTGCATCATTTTGGGATTTTGAGTATTTCGGGGCATTTTTGGCTTCTCGGGTGATTTTAGGGCATGTTATGGATTTTGGCGTGTTTAAGCCAATTTTGTGCATTTTAGGTATTTAATGGCATTTTAGGTAATGTTAAGATTTTTGAAATTTTATATCATTTCAGGCATGTTCAGTATTTCGGGGCATTTTTGGCATTTCGGCTGATTTTAGGGCATGTTATGGATTTTGGCGTGTTTAAGCCATTGATGACAGTTTATGCCATTTTAAACATTTTGGGACGTTTTACAAGAATTTGGGCATCTTAGGTATTAGGAGCATTTCTGACATTTTGGGTGATTTTTGGGTATGTTATGAATTTTAGCGCGTTTTAGCAAATTTTGCGCATTTTAGGTATTTAACAGCATTTTAGGTAATTTGGGGCGTTTTAGACATTTTATATCATTTTAGGCAATTTGAGTATTTTGGGGCAATTTTGGCATTTCGGGTGATTGTAGGGCATGTTATGGATTTTTGCGCGTTTTAGTCATGTTAGCGCATTTTAGGTATTTAACAGCATTTTAGGTAATTTTAGGAATTTTGGGGTATTTTAGACATTTTACATCATTTTGGGCATTTTGAGTATTTTGGGGCATTTTTGCCATTTCGGGTGATTTTAGGGCATGTTATGGATTTTGGCGCATTTAAGCCATTGATGACATTTTATGCGATTTTAACCATTCT